GTTAAATTTCTTATGTAATCAATAAAATAGTTAAGTCTATTAAAATAATTTAAAAATTAATATATATAATTTACATAAATAAAACTTTTAATTTAATAATTAATTTTTACATATATTAATTCAAATATGATTTTTTAAATATATTTTCTAAATAAAATTTAAAAATTAAGAGTATAAGTGTATAACTAACAAAAATATTTTCCTTATTTAATGGAAAGCATTTTATTTAAAAAAATTATTTTACAATCTAAATTATTTTAAATTAAATTACAAAACAATAACCCTTAAATTAAACGTACCCTAATATTGATCCCTCCTCCTATAATTCAATGTTTTAATTTTATCAAACTGGAAAACAATTAACCCTCTATTTGTGTGCTCTTTCAATGTGCCGGTTAAAAGCATACCTTTCATCTTCTTCTTCCATCTTCCAAAGGTCCACTTGTTATCATCTTCCTTTCACTTTCTTCCCCTTTGCCCTTCTTCTTTTCCTCTTCCCCTCATCTGCATTCTTCTTCTCACATAATCAGGGTCTGGGTTCTCCGTCGGACAACGGACCGGAAATCAGATCTGTGTCTGGGGTTCACTCCTTTCTCTCTGTTCTTCTTCTTCCTTTCCCCTCTCTGTCTTCTTCTCCCATCGGGGTCGAGGTTCTCCGTATGAGGCATACTGGAAAAACAAATTTGGGTTCCAGCTCCGCTTGCCGCTCATGTTCATCGTTAGCCGATCACCGACCCGTCGCATTTGAGCTCGTCATTGGCTGGTATCGTCTTCTTGGAGAATGTTTTTCATTGTTCTGAAATCTATTAATCTTAATCCCAATTGGACCTTACCTGGGTTTTAAGAAAATGGGATTCGCAGGTGGCGCAAGGTGGCGCAGGGATGGAGGTTGTAAAGAAGCAGTGCGGTACACTTGGTGAGTTGGTGGGTTTTGGGTTGGGAAAATTGAGTGTGTTTAGGGATGTCAACGAAGCTTCGCGCGGCGTGAGTCCCTTCTCATCCTGTGAATAGCGGGGACTGAATCTTATAAGGATTTTTGAAGAGGGCAGATTTTGTCTTTTCGTCCCGTTTAAATTATAAATTTTTTTGTTTTTTATATATAATTAATTAATATTTAATTATAATGA